GGAGATTCATCTAAAACATGCCGAACAGTAAACCTCGAAGAAGCTTAAAAGAAGTTTGAGATAATCTTACAGAGAAGAAAAAGAACATTGTAAAAACCCAAAACATCCTCTTTACTACAGAGTGTTTTTATTTAGAGGCTTCCCTGCCCCCCTGTAAGAGAGACTGCTACAGGAGATCCTTTCTGCCTGCAACCATTAAAGGAGCAATATGTAAGAACACCTAGCCATTCATGTTAAAAAAACCTTTTAATTAATTTTAGTGTAAGTTACTTACTCATTGCTCATTTAACATAAAAAAAAAACTCATTCATGATTATGTGATTGAAAACATTTATCTATGGGATTATTTAAGTATTTCTGCATTAAACAGAAATAGAGTACTGTTAGTTACAAGTCTTGAGACACACAGTTACAGCTTGATGGAATCAGCTGGAACCGACATCTGTTTTATTTGTCCTACTTTGGAAAATTGCATTCTATCTTTTGTATGAAAACCATCAGCAGGAGTAACCACAGTATATATCTAAATCAGTCCTTGGGCTGTACATTTCCCAATAGTTTTATTCCATGAAAAAAAAAAGAAAGCTGGAAGAGTTTTCAAGATTAAATAAAATAAAATACCAAATAAAAAAGTATTTGACTTGCTTTAGAGATGTTGTTAAGTCTGACGAGCCCTGTCAGTAATGATTTATTCTGACGTTCTGCAATGCATTTGCAAAAATCTGTTGCAACACACTGCTGTATCCAAATGGATATTATGGAGTGGGTGTGAGAAATGCACGTTCAATATAAAGATGCAAGAGGGTATCTCATAATTACAATTAAACAAGGTAATTTAACAGGGAAATTATTAAGGCAAATCCATCTCCTACAGACTTTCTTATTCACTGTATTTGTATTAACAGAATCTGGAAATTTGAAATATATTTCTTTAATACAAAATACTATTGAGTTAATCTGCAAAGAATATGTGAATCAAAACAATGTATTGTTTTCATAGATAATAGCTGTTAAATATTCCTTCCTAAGAAGACAGCTATAAGCAATTTTGGAACCTTTTATCTAAATAGTATTGTATTATAGACAATAATACAATATTATTGCTCTAGGTCTTTGCAGGTGGGAGCCAGCAAACCCACGTCATCCATATAAAGCAGAGACGAAATCCACTGTTTCCCAACCCAACCTCCAGTCGTGGACTGTTCCTAGATATGTTGTCAATTAAAAGTTATGAANAGCCACCTTCTTTTGTTTGAGAACCATGAATTCAGACTTGGTGGAGCTGATCTCCATCCCAGCTGCTTGAAACACTGCTGTAAACTGCTCCAATGCACCACATCATCCATATAAAGCAGAGACGAAATCTACTGTTTCCCAACCCAACCTCCAGTCGTGGACTGTTCCTAGATATGTTGTCAATTAAAAGTTATGAATAGGAGTGGTTATAGATGACAGCTCTAATGGTGTTAAACATATCCTGGAAACAGGTCAAACTGAATGCAATGCAGACCAGACTTCTGCTTCACTTTTACAGAGACCGTATAGCCATTAGCTATACATTAGCTATCTTATAAGGAGGAACCACCACCCCAGTCTTCCAGTCAAGGAGCACTTTCTCTCATTACCACACAGTATTAAAAAATCATGTCAACCACTATAGCCCAACAACATACAAATACCCAAGTACTCAGGGTGAATCTCATACATCACCAAGGATGTTTTCACCTCTTGGAATAGATAAAAACAATTTTGACTCCAAGCATCCAGTCTCTGCTTCCCCCTGGAAATGTGTGACAGTGAGATTCAAGAGATGCTCAAAGTATTCCTTCTACTCTACAACAATGCCCTCAATCAACCTCAGCAGCAGCTCCACGCTCCCGGAGACTTTGTCAGATTTGCTTTGAGGCCTTTTTTCATGGCCTATTTGATCTCCACCCAAACCAGAGTTTTTACCTCTGCAACTGTCCAAGTATTGGCATACTTGGCCTCACGGTACTGGTTTGCTGCCTTGGGGACCCCACAAACCAACAATACTCAATATTACTTCTTTTTAGCTTTACAGCGTCCCTGACGTCCCTTTAGGAGGGGAGCACAATATAAAGCAACACTGTAAAAGTGAGTTTTACCAGAAATACACAACTGAAAAAGCTGCTTGGTCACACATTGTCCCTTATAAGCAGTGTTAGGAGTAACAATGTTAAGTAATAATAACGTTATTGTTAGTTTTTGATTTAAAAAAGTTATCTAACTAATTACTTTTCAAATAACGGTAATGCTGTACACTACCTGAAATATGATAAAGAGGCATACCTGACGCCAATGAGACGCCATGCTGTGGGCGGGTGTTCAGTATGCCTTGAATACAGAGAGAAGATGGCGCAGAGTCACTAATTAAATGACAGTGTTCCCAAAGAAGGGCTCATTGAAGTCAAAGGCTAAATGTTTTTTTTGTGATTTGTTCATTATGTGTAGGAACAAAGACTTTAAAATTATCAGTTACAAGCTGTGATCTAAAGAAGCTCCTCATATCATCTAAACACTGACTGACAGCAGGCTGCCTTTAATCACCACGTTCTTCACTTTCTCAGTGCCACACTGTTTTAACTTGCATGGTATACATTTTTTCACTCAAGAATACTGGGATTATATTAATATTTTATGATCAGTTAAAGACTTTCAATGTGCAAATATAAAAAGTTCTAAAACATATTTTTGTCCTTTAATTATAAAAAAATCATCATCACATCTACATAATTATATTGCAACTCACTTGTCAAACCACACACACAAAAATTGGGCAGATTAGTAATAAATGTTTTCAGATGTTTAGTCCTTTTGATAAACTAATGAAGAAAAGCCATTGGGTCTTTAATTTCCCACAGGTGTGTAGGGGGCACGGCAAACTCATAAAAGATAAAGTGACAACATATATGAGCTTTTTTGCTCTCTGACCAACAGGAGGGAAAATCTCTCAACCTAGGACACAACAACTGAGACCGACAGAACAGGGCCTTGAACCCACAACCTCCCGGTTACAGAAAAAAATCCCTACATCCAGAGCCACGGTGATGTTGAATCAATTTTTCCCCCCTAGAATCAGTAAACCTTTGCAGAATACTGCAAGAAAAAATATTAGAGGCTGCAACGGGTTAGAAACAAAAAGGTCTACTGTCCAGCAGCAGATTGATAATCCTGAACATACAGCCATTGCTACTATTGAAATGTTTTGGTTCAAAGCTTAGTAAACTGTTAAAGTCTTTAACTCATTCTAGACATAAATCTAAGAAACTAACGTCAATAGACTCTCTCTATACAGTTTGACTAACTTGAGCTATTTTGGGACAATAAAAACTTTCTGTCACTAGATTTGAATTTGAAATAAACTTTATTGTCATTACACTGTCACAAGTGCAAAGCAACAAAATGAACTCTCTGCATTTAACCAATCCACCTGGGGAGCAGTGTGGGGTTAAGGGCCTTTGCTTAGTGACCCAGAGTGGCAGTCTGTGGGAGTGGGGCTTAAACTCAGAACCTCTGGATTCCCAGCATAATGCCCTAACCACTAGGCCACCACTCCCTGCAAGTTTATGTATAGCTATCGATAGAGATATCTATAGCTGGTAAAAATATTATCCAAAGTACTTGCATAATTGCAGGCAAAGTCTGCAATTATGAGACTATCAAGTCAATACTACTAATTATTGACTTGATAGTCTCGATACATACATGGTACACTTTTTATATTTTTAACCTCCCAATTGTGTAGCAGTTTGCAATGATAAATTCCATTTAAAATTCATGGACATTTGTTATGTCACAACATGTAAAAAAAAAAAATATATATATATATATATATATATGGAGACTTCAGCAAGGCAATAAACGCTAGCACAATGGCTTCATCTGTGGAAAACAAAATAATTAATCAGTTGAAGCGCAGTTGTGTCTATCAGTTCTGATTTACTATTGGCATCATGGGATTGCGGTGAGCAGAAGGAATTCCAGGTAATCCTGCCTGTTGTATGTATCAGAGGCTCAGAAGTCCACTGGTTTTGCTGTAGCAAAGTATCGCAGAACACTGTGAGAGTGGTGCAAAGATAAAATGCATAGAAACAATGCTGTGACGCTACTGAAAGAAGCATTTGGACTAGAAATAGAACACTGGAAATTATTTACAACATAGAGCTACAGAAAAAAAGTGTCTTAAAAAGCAGGACTTCAGCAAACTATACCAGTGATATGCTCTTTGCATGTTTATGCTTATCTTTCCACAAAAGAGGTCTTCAGTTAATGCAGCGCATAATGCACTGAAATTATACTGGACACTGCTGTCTAAGGTGCTCTGCTTCACATTAACTAAGTTTGATCAAGGGAACCCAGTGAGATCTCCGTTTTAAAGCTGGGCATATTGCTTTGATCTCTCAATATCAATATGAAAAGCCTTTCCATTGGGGTACAGTCCTGTGAGTTACAACAAAATACCTTCTATACACATTTCCATATGCTCATTACGTTGATAACCTAAGGCTTTGTTCTTTTGCCTACCCACAAAGCCACAGTAATATAATTCTGAAGAATTTTGGAAGCACAACTCACTGAAACTGCTATAATGTGAAGAGAGCTGACAGTCCTTCCCTTTTGGGGAAGTTCCTTGACAAGTCGATTCACTAAAGGTCCAATTAAAAAGAGTGGTGCTCTGGAACATTTCCATCTAGGCAAGTTAGGAAAAAGGAAAGGGAATAGTTAATGCACTTAGAGTACGATTAATTGTTGTAGCCTGGTTTGTTGTGACTCCTAATGCATTCTCTTGAAGCTAATATTAATAACATTCAGGAACTATGAGATAATAAATGTTTCTGAAAACCAATAGGGACTCAATCTAAATACTTTTTATATTATTAAAGTAATTATCTGCATAGTTAAGCACACAAAACCCAAATTATCATAATTGGTATTCGAGCATGAATGTTGCACTGACATTTTTAACTGTGCTCTCCTAGATGACCCCACTGTGCAGGGCCTGGACAAGTCTCGGCATCTTCAGACAGGAGAGATGATCATAATTGTCGTGGTCTTGGTCATGTGGGCAGGTAGGTTTGTTAAATGTGTGAAGTAAAAAAATTAGACTGGAAAGAGAATCAGAAAATATGAAAAAGGAAAGAGGTGAAAGTAGTGTCTGGCGTGTGTCTCATTCTGATTGGGAGTGTGTGGGACCCAAGACAGGAAAGAGACAGAGAAGCCTTACATGAGAAAACTCAGAGTTCCAGGCCCTTCTTAGTGAAGTTGGGGTTATTTAATACAATTAAAAGCACCAGTTTATTGCAGTCAAATTAAATCAATACTGTACTAAATAATTATGAAAACAAATTTAGAACAAATGTCTTCAAAAATATATACAAAGTAATACAATATTCATCATTAAGGTTTATTTCTTTTGTACAGCCACAAAATCTTAAGCTAATAATACAACAACAAAAATCTTGAAAAAGAGCAATGACGTACCCGAATAATCGATCTAAAAATAGAACTAAAAGACTCCTTCTTACAACATATACCACATAAAAAAGAGTATCTTCTTTATCTTCATTTTACTTAACTTGATTGTAAAACATCATGTACTTTCAGTTTCATTGGCCTGAATTATTAAGTAATAAAAATAAATAAAGCAAAAGTAAATCTATATTTTTGAATGTTTTTAAAACATCTTGAAATTAAATTGGAAAACCCTGTTTTGTATTTTACTACTGTGTACAGCGATGAAACATGTTAATGACAATAATCCTTATTAATTCTACCAAATTCGCTTTTTATAATGATAAGTAATTAATTTAAAACATCTATTGTGTTACTTTTTAAACCCCCTAGTAGATTTATGTTTGAAGATTTTCCTTCATTATCATTTCTCCAAAGAGTTTTTATAATTATCCTGACATTAATTGAAGTAACAGAGCAGGAAAAAAAGATAAAAAGATACACAAAGCTTGCTGTTCACTAAAATGATGAAAAACAACAATTTTTTTTCTGAAAAACATTGAAAGTTGCTCATGATAGGTGATCAGTGGAAGGATGCTGCTTCTCTTGGTGCCTGTGTCAGTTCTTTGCAGGATTTATTTTTTCTTCAAGACATTACCTTTACCTAATGCACCACAAAAAAACATCCCACTAGGCTTGATGTGTTTGTATCCTCCAACAGGCTACTTTCTCCGTCTGTAAAGTACAAATTGCAACAGTTAATGTTATGGTTAAATTAATAAAGTAAAGGAAAATTAGCCTCACTCAAACTGTTTATTTTGTACATGGAGCACACTACTATACCCATCACAAATTAATTAGAAAAATATTCTAATTCAATAAATACTTTAATCGCTAAATATTCCATTGTGTTGTTCAAACACCAAGGACAAGTCATCACTTTAAGAATGAATCTTACTTTTAATAAGCTACATAACTCTTTGGTCTTGTTTTCATCCCCATGTACATTCACCTCGACAGTATGGAAGCGAATTTCAATGCACAACACAGCTGGTCAATGAACTTTAATGTGATGAGCATTATCAAGAGCAATGTCTCTTAGCTAATTAAACAACATATGCATCATTTGATAAGGTTTAATTAACATGAATGTCTGGCAAATCAAACTTTTGCTCGAAGGTTGTATTACCAGAACTCCATATTAATTTCTAAAAATACAGTATTTTTACCGAAATCCATGGCCTCAGAGATCTCATGAACTTAAGTCTGAATCAGCAATACTATTCAAACAGGAAGCACAGCTGTATTTGAAAGTCTGAGTAACACAAAAACCCAACTGTATTGCCTACCCATTAAATGAATGAAGGCAGCATTATTAAGCTCCCCATGGAGCCAGTTCTACTACCCACAGGGTGTTTTAGTACACAGTGGAGCAGGAAGTGGGATTGCCAGTAGATTCCTCATGACTGAGTGGATGTCTGTTGTATACGTTTTTCACCTGTGGCCTTCTTTGTCCCTCTGGCAGCTGTTATAGCCCTGTTCTGCCGACAGTATGACATCATAAAGGACAACGACTCCAGTAACAATAAGGAGAAGGTGAAGCCGTTGTCTGAGAGGAGCACACCAGAGCACCACAGTGGGGGACTGCTTAGGAGCAAGGTGAATAAGAAAACCATAACAAATATATATCTCTGAATAGTAACATTTCCTTCTATGAATTAAAAAAAACAATGACTCTAGTATATCTGTTGAACATTACTCTGTGGGTTCTACTATTTATCATCATATTACTCCCCATTATGCAGGTGAGGGGAAGGACTACTACGGTGGGAGAGTAGAGGGACTTAGTATGAATCAGCAAGTACTGCGAGTTCTAAACTTTAAATACTAGCCTAAAATATGTACCAAGCACAGGTCAATGGAACTGTGTGATTGGTTTGTGTCTTTTTCTGTGTTTTCTTTAATACAGAACCATCAATAGCTTCCTCAGAAATATTAACACTGAATAATAATGGGAAGACTATCTGAAACAGCTATTTGCTTTATTGTTACCCCTGGGAAAGCAAAACTGATCTATATAGTACATTTCAGTAGCAAGACAATTTAAAGTACCCCAGACATGTAACATTATGCAATTTTTCTTTTATGACTATTATGTACAGATTATTGATAATATTTCAGTTTTGTAAAATATATTTGATCATAGTACTCTACTTATACTGTATGATAGGACCCAGCTCATCCAGTAAAAACAGAAAGTATCATTAAAAAAGATGTTAATGATTTTGAAGATTACCGTTTTCTTTGTTTAGCCTGTTTAAGCTTTGAAGGGGTCATAGAATGATTATATAGGGTCTTCAACAGGGGGTCCGCGACCCCTAGGGGATCCGCGGAGGTACTGCATGGGGGTCGCGAAAGTCTTGGTTGATTACTTTTTTTTATATTCCCTCCTGCAATTTTTTGCACTAATTAAAATGTCTTTAAATACACATTAACATGAATTCAACACACTGTAGTAAACAGATAAATGAAAGCAGAAGATGTCTTTCAGTCATCAATGCATACATTCAGTGACACACAGGAGCTCTTTCAAACCTGGGCACCGTTTCATTCACAACACCTGTCCCATCAACCAGGAATCAGATTCAGAAATACTTTAATAATCCCAGGGAGAAATTACTTTCGTTACATGACTCCATATGTAATAGAGTGACTATAGGACCAGTTTGATATAACACAATTTCATACAATATAAATAATTAGGGCGTCCCCGCTCCATCTCGCAATCAGTTTGGGGGTCCTTGGCTTTTAAAACGTTCAAGACCCCTGATATAGGGTATTTGGTGCTGGTCCTTAAGGTCTCTGAATAGGGTGTGTAACATTGGTTGGGCTGAAAATGACATATTTAGGTTCGGGGGTCCCGCAGTGGGGTGGGTCGCCCCTGGCCACATCACCAGACAGGACACTGTTAAAAAAAAGAAAAAGAAAATGGCATATTTGCTGTTCTATGCACCCTAATGCAAGCCTGGTTAAAAGCTCTAGAATGAAACAACACGTTTTCTTCCGTTTATGGTATGCTGATGAATACTTAGATGAGCTGTGTGCTGACTGGTTGGTTTAGAATGAACAAAGCCGCTGAGCAAAGACGCATCATAACAACAAGCACTCACTTACTGAAACATCGAAATTGTTGGTAGGGTGACCCGACGTCCTCTTTTTCCCGGACATGTCCTACTTTTCAGTCGCTCCCTCCCTGGCCTGCTTGGTTCGCATGCACGGTCCAGCCCAGTCAGTGGCCCATTCAGCTGAATATAATAATATGAATAATAATATGAATAATATGAATATAATATAAATATATATAAACCTATAATATGTTCTTTTTACTAATGTTGAAAACTTATTTAAAATGCAGTTTTTTACTAAATAATGAAACTTAATTAAACAATAGGAACAAGGCATGGTGGTATGTTGTTGTCTCATTTGATCTTATTTCACTTATCAGAGAACATTGTAGGGTAAAAATCTATTTTATAAATTTGAGAAAAATAGATAATTAATAAAACGTAGAGTGGTTCAACAGGACTTTGATGATTTGCATCTTTGGTGATTGCACCCTCAAGAACCCTTCAGAGAGTTTAGAGCTGGCCCACAGTTCCATGGTCGGAAAAAAAGCCACGCTGCTCCTCCTGAAGCCAAGGTTTAACGATCAGCTGAACTCTCTTCCTTAGCACCCTGGCAAAGGCCTTTCTGAGGAGGCTAAGAAGTGCGATCCCATTATAGTTGGAACCCACCCTGCGGTCCTCCTTCTTACGCAGGGGAACCACCACCCCATCTGCCAGTCCAGGGGGACTGTTCCCGATCTCTAAGTGATGTTGAAGAGGTGTTTGAGCCACAACTTCCCAACAAAATCCAAATCTCTAATGTAGTCAGGGTGTATTTTCCCCGAAGCCTTGCCAATATGAGGTTTTTTGACCACTTCAGTGACTTCAGCCTGGGTGATGAACGAATCCAGCCCAGAGCACACCATGTCTGGGCGAGTGGTGGCCTAGTGGTTAGAGCATTGTGCTTGGGTCCAAGAGGCTCTGGTTTCAGGCCCCACACACTTCCACCAACTGCCACTCTGGATCCCTGAATAACCTTAACACCAGACTGCTCCCCGGGCACCAACAGAGGCAGCCCACTACTCCCCATTGTGATGCGTTAAATGCAGAGAGTGAAGTTCTCTACTGTGGGACAATAAAGGATTTCCATTTCCATCATGGAAATTATTCTCCAACGTATTACTTCCACTGTCCTCTTTCAAAGTCAGCAGCTCCCCACTCCCATTGCAAACAGTGTTAGCCCTCTGGAGGCGCCAGACAGTTTGCCAGAATTGACTTGAGGCTAGCTCATAGTCTCTCCATTGCCTCTCCAAACTCCTCCAAGGCCCAAGGTTTAACCTTGGCAAGTGTCCAGGAAGCGACACACTTGGCCTCACAATAGTCACTTGCTGCTTCAGGAATCCCACAAGCCAACCAGGCTGGATTCCTTTGTTCAGCTTTACAGCATTCCTTACTGCCCGTGTCCACCCCCGGGTTCGGGGACTGCCTTCGCAACAGGCACTGCAGACCTTGCAGTACGGGGCGACAATGGAGTCACCCATACTCCATGTCTCCATCCTCCCCTGGAATCTGGGACAAACTCTCCTGGAGGTGGGAGTTCAATATGTCCCTGACAGAGGGCTCACCCAAACATTCCCAGCAGACCCTCGCTACTTGCTTGGGCCTGTGGATCAATGGGTTCACATGTGTTTTGTGGACCTGGAGAAGGCATTCGATTGTGTTCCTCTCAATGCCCTGGGAGGTGTGCTTTGGATAGCTCCTTTACTAAGGGCTATTTCGTCTTTGTACAAGTGTAACAAGAGTTTGGTCTGCACTGCCGGCATTAAAGGCAGAGATATATTTGAGTGTGGGGTTGTCACGCCGGTCCCTGAGCACCATGTGCAAGCTTAAAAAAGCACTGTACATGTTTATAGTTGATGCAGATGTAGGTGCAGTACTCACAAAAAATTATTTCTAGGGGCAGCCAAAGGCCAAAGGGGGTCTGGTTTGGGCATGAGTGGATTTCATCCCAGCTATTTGCAGATGATATGGTTCTGATAGCACCCTCTTGGGTGTACAGCCACTTCTCCTCCACATTGATAAGACTCAGCCGAGGTGGATTTGACATTTTTTTCGAATGCCCCCCGGATGTCTCTCTCAGGAGGTATTCCAGGCACCTCCCACTGGGAGTAGGCCCTGGGGATGACTCAGGACACTCTGAGAGACTATGCCTCTCGGCTGGACTTGGAGCACCTCGGGCTTCCCTGATCAGAGCTGGAGGCGGTATCTGGGGAGAGAAAGTCTGGGAGACTCTGTTAAGACTGCTGCTACTGCGTTCCAGTCCCAGGTGAAGTGGACGACAATGAATACGGACTATAACCATATGTCTTGCGTGATAGATGAATGAAACTTTACAGTGTCTTTAGGACTGAATTTAAAACAACAACAAGCACACAGGATTAACTTAATGAGGTATCTAAGCCATGCAAATAATGGAGGAGAGTTATACATCAAATTACAATACATTTTTTTTAATAACATTGTCAACATTTTCTGAAATATTTATTTGTCATTTTCTGGGGGTTCTTTATAGGTTACAATACAATTAGACTTTAGAAAACACCCTAAAAATGTTAGCCATTTAACATTGTCAACATCTTTTCTTGTCTTTGCAGTTCCATCCCTCTGTGCCATCTATAAACATCATTGAAGTCTGAGAAGAAGAGGGTCAAACTTGAACTACTATGTCTTCAACTGCCTTTTTATCTCCCTATTGAGGAAAAAAAAAACGTGGAGAAAACAGAGAAGATGTGGGCTACTTATAAGCCATTGGGTGATGAAAGGGCATTAAGCGACTGACTTTTTTTTTTCCCAGGACAACAATTACACATAAATAGGTGTTATGATGTAGACAGACCTTAAAATTGCTGAAATACTGTTCCCCTGTAGATTGACAGGACTTGATTGAATGTTAATCCGTGGTGCAGAAACATTGATAGCTGTTCCAGGTGCTTGCTTTAAAAACGCAATACAAAATCCAGTAACCAATCATCTCTGGGATACGTATCTTTGTGGCGCTAAACACGCAGTGTATTTTTGATATTGGCATGTGCAGTTACATACTCTGTTCACCTCTAGACAATTGTGAGTAGTTTTCATACTGTATGCTGCCTGAACATAATGCTGTGTGGTTAGTGTGAGTAGGGTATGAATAGGAGAGAATGTTTGTGTTAAAAAAAACTTATCTCTAAATATAAAATCACTACATCATTTATTTTAGTCCAAACTTAACTGCCACTGGGTAACACTGTGTCTTTTCATACTTCAGATATAACAAAACATTTTTAGTTTGCTAAAAGAAAGCTGCATGCAGGGTGTGTAGAAAACCAACTAATGTGCAGACTGAAACTGAAAAAGAAAAAATGCATTTTCATAAGCCAAGAAGCTTTGTTGAATATTTAGTTAGTCTGCTTTTAGAGATGGCTGCAACATTTTAACATGTGGTTCATGTTTAATGTCATTTCCTGAAAACAGTTTTTCCTGACATGTATAAGAAACCTAGTTTTGAAATGGCTAATTATAAAAATTAAGGCAATGTAATAAAGTTTATCTCAATTAAAGCTATAAAATGCTTCTATTGTTTGGTAAAATACTTGCACATTAAAAGGCCATGCAATATTTACAGGACTTTTAATTGCTAGCAAGAATTTAATAAATGAAATCCTGTCAACACTTATATAAATATGCACTTTAATGCAGTCCAGTCCTTAAAAGATAAGTAAAGAATATTGTAAAAGAATGATCACCAACCTTAATTTAAAGGGAATATATAGCTTCCAAATGTCCTTAAAAGGACAATTGTTTGCATGCATCTGTGTGATGTGATGAGAGTTATGGATTCTTAGGTTGATGAAACAACATAAGAATCCATAACTGTATATTAACTGAATTCATAGCGATCAAAACAATATTGTATTTTCACCTAAAATACAGGATGTTGGGACAAGGGTTTAATAATGCATTGAGATATGATGCAATAACCATCTTCTGATGCTTATTCGTCTGGGCCATGCATGACTGTCGCACATCTTCAGCAGTCTATGGGGGAAAAGCGAGGTACTCCCTGGACAGGTCAAAAGTCCATCCCATGTCAAAACCAAGAAATACAGCCATACATACAAACTCCCCTAAGGGCAAATAAGAGATGCCAAACCACCTAACAGCAATGTTTTGGGACTGTAGGAGGAAGCTGGAGTACCAGAAATGAACCTATCACACAGGGAGAACATTTAAACTCCACGCAGAAAGACCCCAGGCTGGGTATCAAAGCCAAGACCTCCTTGCTGTAAGTTATCAATGCTACAAATGGGCCATCATGCAGCCTGGAATCCCATGGTGGGATTGTCATACCATTAATATATATTTTTCTTTAAAAAAAAAAGTTGTTTTTAATGGTAATCAGACAGGAAACAAAGTCATTACAGTACACACAGCCCTTCAGATATGCTACTTTGAGTAAATATAAGCCAAGCTTCTTCTTTCTGCACATCTAATACTGTATATAGAATATGAACTCCACTTAGGTTTCCACAAATATTTTTAGGGAATGTCAAAAAATTCTGTTTTTCTCTGCTAACCTGGCATAACCCAGATTGATACCATGAAGAGTTGATATGAACTACATCCATCAATCTGGAAATCCATAGGTAGACAGTGCTTGCAAAAGGGACTTTCAGGACAATTCTTCAATCTGATTGGGTACCTGCCTCCCATGTGGAGTTTTTAGCTAATCACTGCACCAGTAGCAGCTTGATTTGTTTCACAACTTCAGGAGTGAAGGGTATAGAGGATGAGCTTTTATTTCCGGCTGGATCATCTAAATAAGTGGTTCTCCTAACTGTCAATCATTTTAGTGATATGTTTGAATTAGGCCTTCCTACATGTTCATCCCGTTAGCCATCTTTTTCTGTGCATGCGCACTTTGAGGCATATATATGTGGTGAGCTATGGTTTCAGACAGTCATTGAAGCTCTCCTTTTTCACCGCGGTTCTTTAATAATGGCCGAGGGTTGTAAGAAAAAGTGTCTATGAAGTGCATGAGAAGAAAAGAAGGGCCTCAGAAGAGGCAGATATATCCCGGGATGCTTTCCTCACAAAGCATTATGGGATTTGCTGTCACAGCTGCCAGCTGCCACCAACAGACTGTTCCTACCCTACAGTGGCGACTAACAACAAAGATGTTGCATGCCTCGCACAGTGGCGAAGGAGTTAAGTGACCAATGGGGAGCAAAAAGCAGTGATCTGTATGAATGGTAAGTTAACTGAGTTTGCTATAAAGTCCACTATATAGTCCCCGCTCTATATAGTGATTGAGGGATTAAGGGGTTAGAGAGGACATTTGGGCACAGTAAACTTCTATGAGCTATCAGAACAGCAACTTTTAAACAGAGCGTGAACGAGGAGAAATGGGCTCTTGCATGTGTTAATTGGGGTTCCCTCTGGGGGGAAGTTACAGGGATTTTTGTTAAGTGAAGAGGGCGGGTCTTTTAAAAAATTGGTAAAAAAAATCCTCCATAATACCTTAAATGGGTACATTAAACTCTTTATAAATCAGAGAAATATTAAAATATCTTCCTATCCGAAAAGGCATGCTTGTTATTTTTATGTATTTATTTTTTTTTTTATTGCACTATCACAAGTACAGAGCAATGAAATGCACTTTCTGCATTTAGCCCATCGCCTTGTGCAGCAGTGGGGTGCGTTGTGTGGCGCCAAGGAAGCAGTGTGGGGTTAAGGGTCTTGCTTAGGGGCTCAGACTGTCAGTCTGCGGGAGTCCTCCCCCATGCACTAAGCCACACTGCCCCATGGAAGAGTATTCCAGCTAAAATCGCACAGCCATGTTTGTTTTGGATCGGCCTTCCGCATCTGGTCGATGTGTTGGCATCATACACGTCACTCACTATTGAGGCAAACGCAACTCCTGGCAAGATGTATTTTCAGAAGTTTCTGAATTCACAAATCTCATAACAAATTGTCTGGCTTGCAAAATATATCTGTTTCTGGCTAGAAGCCAACATTTGGACATGAAATGTCAGCACAGCCAAACATTTGGAATCAACTTCAGAGTTTTAATTTGCTTTGAAATTAATTTTGGACATTAGTCATCAATGTCCATGCTGGTTTTCTTGAGGAACAAAATATTTGCTCTCTACTTCAAACTGCTGCAAACCCCCCCTCACAAGAACCTCCCAATGTAACATGGGATCTGACTGTGCTTGGGGACAAAGTCATCTACCAACAAAAAAAAAAAATTGGTCCATTCCGTGGAAGGTCTACTTGAGTGCAACAATGGGAAAAATTAAGATAGCGTGACTAAATAGACTTCACTCCTGCTTCTTCAATCCCTGCTCAAGTTAAGTAGTCCTGAAACCATGTTCAGAACCAGATTGTTGCAATGTCTGTCCTCTCCAAGTCTAAATAAGAAGAATAAGTCAGACTTGGAAGCCTCAAAGGACAAAGCCCTTCTGGTGAGGCCATTTAAACACAGATTCATCCAGCAACACAGTCTTGGCTAAGCCTTCTCAAACTTTGGAGATGCCTCATCTTACCAAAATAAATCAACAGCTCCGGCAGATTTACGGAAAGAGTTTCCAGCTGAAAACAAATATGATTTTGGATTAATTTATGTGTTTGATATTGTGTAAATCAAGTTATCAATAAGCTAATGTAACTGCATGATAAGCAATGCTGATCTGTTTTAAATTTCTGTTTAAAAAGCTAAAACAAACCTTTCAGTAAGGGTTTAAAAACATAGCATTAACCTTTATGTGTTTGCTGATATGTCCATAACCAAAGAGTCCTTTCTAACTGAGCCCCCTCATGTCAGCTAGCTTCTAGTTACATTATCTTCAAGTCAAACCTAGACAAAGAAGATAAGTGGTCTTTACCCTCAGTTAATCTTACATCTGGAATCTAATTCAGAAATCTAAATGTTATGGTAGATCTAAATGTTAAATCAATATTTATACATCTCAAATCTAAACCTTGAATCTCAGATTAAAATCTTAAGAATATATGCTTATTAAACACACCCTTTTGACGGCTTAATTTTAGGCCCAATCCTAGCACCACTGGTGTTCCTTAAAGGTATAGAGGACAATCTCTCATTTCCGGGTGGAAAGGTATTTGAAAAAAAATAAAATATATGCCCAAAAAGGTGTATGGGAAAGAAAAAAAGTCCCAATGCACAAATCCATGAGATACATTATATCAAAATAGGTTAGATTTATATATAAAAAAAAAAACAATCATTTGAATCAGCTACTTACTGTAAAATTATCAGGCTGAAATAAAATAAAGCATTTCAAAGCAGATTCTTTAACTGTCAGCTAATATCTCAGTCTAATGATGATGATCTGACGTTTGACATAAAAAAAAATGTTTTGTTAAGACATCCATCACAGAATGCAACATATTAATCAATTGTTTGCATGTTTGTTGCTCTAGATATATTTCCTAATCCAAAATATTATTACAGTGAATTACTTTAAAAATGGAAAGAGATTGCACTCTGCTATAAATAAAAATGTATTCTTGTTACTGTAACTGTCAAAGGGGAGTGCAAGCCACTAAATTTTATTAGTTTAGATGATTTATTGTAGACATGTCCCAATTACTGTACAATGATGTGTTACAGAAATTAAAATCTGATGTGTTTCTATTATATATTTAATTTTAGGGGTTTTGAGCCAGATCACATCTCCTCTATTGTAGAGTTCACCCTTCTCTCGAGAATAGATAGTTTCAGGAAAAGATTTGAGCAAATTAGATCTGGGATTATCCAATTTAAGTGATATTTAAAAGTGAAAACAAAATGGATTCTAAATCAGATAGATTTAATAAAAAGTCTGTGTCTTGAACCAATAAAAGAATAGCATAACACTTTTTAATTTTCATATGGACAACCTCTGAAACTAGCAGAGGTTTTACAAATCAGGCAAAGGATGTATAAATTCTGGATTGCGATATGTTGTTCTTAGTAGTCAATACTTCAGCACATCTGACCTTTAAAAGTCAGTCACGTCAGGTTGTCAGTGTCAAATATTACAGCTATTATCAACACAACGGAAATTTATTAAAGCATTCAGTACATCTTATCAGCATTTAATTAGCTGTTTCAAAATGTGTTAAATAGACTATTAGCATCCAATTACACGCTTATGAAGGGTAAATGAGCTGTTCATCTGCAGATTGTGATACGGAGGGTACATAAGGCTTTGATGAACTAAAATAACCTTAGTTTTAGCAACAGTTTTAAATGTTGCATGCAAAAATTTAAAATTAATAAAAAGAAATGCCTTCTTGTTTGGGTTTTTTTTCCTCCTCGTGATCTGTGCTGAAATAACTGCAGTGGTGATTTGAGTCATTGCTCAAGAAAAAATGGCAAGAAAGAAGCTCTATAAAGAAAATAGTCTGGTATCTTTCTTCTTCCAATACTGAATATTCTCTAAGTGGATTTCTGAATGCATATCATGCAGCTGTTATGTTATGCAGGTGGCATTTCCCTTGTGAAGTCAGCAGTGCAAAGTGGGTTGAGAGCTTTTGAAT